AATCAATCAATTAATAAAAACTAATCAATCAATCAATCAATCGATTCTATCAGTCAACTTTGGTTGATTGATTGATTGATTGATTCCACATACAACCAACTCAACAGTAATAAGCACTTCAGGGTGGATAAAAACAAAACGGAAAAAAAGCAATGCAGACTAGTTGAGCACAAAGGAGCCCATTACAATCTGGAGAGAAAGGGAAAGACTCCGAAAGAGTGTTTACACAACTTTTCTTTTGCCTGTTCCTGTTGATTCTTTCCCAGTTGCCAGACATATGCTGTTTATGTAGAAGCGAAGAAGCATTTGCACAGATGAAACAAAAGTAGTAGAGCATTATCAAAGGTGCCCTTCCTCTGTGTGGACGGTCTCTTGAAAACCTTGGACTGGACCTTTGCGCATTGCAGTTTCCCTTGCTCATGGGGCAAGGTGAAGAAGATATGGATGCCAGCACTTCAGATACATTTGTATACTTGCTTCGAGCCCCTCGGCTAATGAGAGAGCCACCACAATGCTTCAGAGCACATTTTCTTCTACTGAATATTAACAAGGCGCATATCGATGACAGGAGGGGAGGAGAGGAGGAGGGGGGGGGGGCAGCAGGGGGGAAGGGCAAGAAAACAAACTGACTCCAGACTGCACGAATATGATTGGGTACACAACTTACGAGCAACCACTACCTTTCATGTGTGTAGCATGAGCAATACACGCACAGCTTTGTCACTTCATCCTCAGCAAGCCTCTCACATCAGCCAGGAAAGCACGGAGGCTTTTCCGAAACTGCCGCCGTGCCTGGCGGTCGAGGCTTTTTGCCACTTCACCGCTCATAAGGGAACCTAGAGCTGAGCTCAGTCGCGCCTTGAGAGAGTTATCCAGGTGCCCAGCGAGCAGCTCCTGTGCCAGTTGCTGATATGTGCCATACTCACACAGAATTAATGGGAGAAGCACATCAGCTGCCGGCTCTACCAAATCGTTGCTGTAATCCTCAAATAAAAGCAAGTGCATGATGGCATAGAGGAAATGTGCAAGCACGCCCCGTCCTTGTGCTGAATGTGGGGAAGGGGAGGAGGAGGAGGAGGAGGAAGAGGAAGGATAACTTGCCGCGTCCGCGTGTTGCCCTAAACCAGGCAACCCTCTTGAGCGCTCCTGATAATGAAAGATGGCAATCGATCCAATTGCCGCCAGGGTGGAATTCACAACATCAGAATCCTGATGCGTTAATCCAAAGTTCAACGCCTGTGCAATAGGTAAGAAGGCTTCAGGTGGGAGCATCACAACTTTGTCGGGGTAGATTTCTAGCATGTGGGAAAGGAGAGTGAAGTACTGCCGACACAGCTTCGGGTACTTGAGGAGATCCGGTGAAATCAGGGGAACTATGATATGCAGCCCCAAATAGACAGCCTGTGCCACATCGCCCTTCGGCTCCACCCCTGGGACACTACCAAAATCAAGCAGATCCTTCGAACTTATGCTCGTCAATAGCTGGAGAAGCGCCCGCAAGTCCTTGTATTTCTCAAACTGCGACTCGCTGGCAAGACTCTTTGTCGCGTCAACCGATACCTTCCCTATGTTATGAGAGGAATACACCTGCAGCAACCGCACCGAGAAACCGAACACCAAACCCGTCTCCTGAGGGTTGATGAACGCCACCTGCCCGTCAACCCATTCCACTACATACTTCAGAATGAGGTAAACGATGGCTGGTTGATTCTTGTACACCTGCAGTAAGGAGAGCAGCGCATCCATAACAGACTCCCCCAAGGAGAACAATGCTTGCTGGCTCTGTGGAAGAGTTGCCCTCGCGCTACCTCTCAACCTCTCCAGGAGACAGCTGACCTGCTGAACAACATCTGGCCTCTGGCCCATCGAGCCAAGATCAGGCCTGGCAGCAATCGCTCTGATCTGGGTTGCAAATGGACCCATGAGTCCGTTAATGTAGCCGGTACAGGCTTCTGCACCTTCCACGCCGGTAACCACTCTGCAAAGCGAGGAGGCCAGCGATCGCTGCAGCGGGGCTCCGAGAGTGGCCAGAGCTGGATCGGACTGCACAAACGCACGTGCCAACTCCCGCCATGGCTCCATCCCAACCAGATGACGGCAAACAGCCCTTCGCCGAACCAACGCTGGCAGAAGCATGAAACATGCTGTCTCCTGAAGTTCCCTCTCCCCTGGCCATGCTGTGAGAGCAACGGATGCTATTCTCAGCACAGCCTCCAGAACTCGCTTTCCTTCCCCCTTCTCCCCAAAAGCTACGACTGCAACACAAGCTCCTTCCAAACTCTCCCCCTGCCCATTTGCAGCAGCAGAGTCGTCATTCGTCAAGTCAGCTCCATTTGCACCCCCGATGCCATTCACATGCTCCCATCTCTGCGAACACCCATTTGCCATCAAGTACGTCTCCGACCACCGAGCCAAGAACCACAGGATTGCTTCCATCAGGCGAGGGCTGAAGACCATTGACCGGGCATCAGGATTAAGACTAAGGCATGCCAGTTCCAGTCCAGCCCGGGAAAGTTGCACAACCAGGTCATTGTCCACATCTGGTGCTCCTCTGGCTTTACTTACACACCCAATCTCCCTGATGGAATCCGGCACCATCGGTGTTTCACCCTTAGCACTGTCTGCCAGCACGTGTCCTGCTATCAGCAGCATCCAGTAGAGTTCTTCCATTGGTATCGTGGGGTCCAGCCTGTTCACAATACACTGCTGAAGGCAGCTCAACCTCTCGGAGAACGCAGAAACAAGAAAGCTTAGAGACCTCGCAGGTGCCGCCCGTCCCAGCTGTGCAACAAGACTCAGTTGCTCATGACGTGCATCAGTTGCAGGCCGCATGTGCTCCTGCGCATCATCTTCATCATGCGCCGAGGCCGCTGCTAGGCCAAGCTCCCCAGACACATACTCTTGAAAGACAGATGCAGCCGCTTCCGCCACTGCCGCCGGGGTTGGCTCCTGCCATGCTTTCTGAAAGTGGAGGGCAGCTGGCTGGACAAGGCTCACCCATGTGTCAAGAAGAAGCTCAAATGCCTCTGAGCTCCAGTTATCGTGAGATTCCTCGTTACGCATACCAGCTCGAATGACTTGGCATGTCAATGACCCTAGAAAGTTTATAGCACCAGCATGACCGTCTGATTGCGGAAATGCACGACTAAACGAAGCTGAAGCGTGAACACTTGCCAGAGCTTGCAGTGCACGGCAACCATCCAGAAGTTCATACTCTGCGCCGGCAACCGCTTGGCCTACTGCGGACTCCAACGGATGCAACCATGATATGACACTGCACAACATCCGGTGAAGGTGCTCCTCCTGCAAACGCCCTCCGTCGTTAGGAAATATATCTCCCTTCAGAGAGCACAGCTGCACAACCACCTGTCGTGCCGAGACAGCCAGAGGAGAGCCCATCCACTCGTTGATTGCTCTAAGATCCTTGCCCGCCGTCTCCTTCTGCCGCAGTGTTGCATACAACCCTAGCAGCCATTCTATACGTTCACCTGGAAGGAGCACTTCTCGCCACAGTCGTCCCGGCTGCACAGGCATACTATCAACAGCCGACCGCATACTCAACCTCGTTCTCGCTGGTGGTCCTCCTCCTCCCCCAGCTAACCGCTTCAGGAACTTCCAGCACAGTATTTGGTTCATGACATGCAGCGACTTCGCACAAACCTCGATATCCACAACCATTCCTTCTGCGAGAACCCGAGCAGCAGACGACACGGCTGCACCTTGCACCATCTCAAAAATATCCTTCAAGTAATGTTCTTCGAGCGACTGTGCACACCGATCATGGAACTCTATCGGACGACCCATCAGAGTCGCTGTTGAGAGGGAGAACTCGCCAACCAAAGCCTCAAGGAACGCCACACCGACTTTCTGCGCATACACACCCATCATGCCTTGAACTATCTGACTGACTTGCTTGAGAAGCTGCTCCCTACGCTGCACTCCATCCTCATCAAGCCAGCTCCTTTTGACAAGCACAGCGGCCACAGCAAGCATCTTCGCTTCAACGAAGGAGTGTTTGCCCTCCGCTCTTTCGAGTACATACCGTAAACAGTACGATGCAAGCGACTCCTTTTCCTCTTTGCTCATCAGCAGCCACTCACGCAGAGCTGCTTCTCGCAGAGTAGCAGCTGCCTGAAACCTCGCTATAGCGTTTTGCGAATGCTCTAGGATGTACTGACATGCTTGGATAGGCCTCTGTGATTTCTGGAATGCAAGCAGAGTTGCCTCTGCTGATGCCTGCTTATTGACATCTTGTAGGTCATTGCACGCTGCCTCGATCGTTTGGAGCACCAACCCTAGATCCATGGCGCGTCTACACACCTGCACACTCCAAATCGAGTACCGCCTTTGGAAAAGTCCAAAAAACTGCTTTCCAGTTGCGAACACTCGGGGTCGGAGAATGGGAACGATGCCTGGCGGCCCACTTCACCACCCTTCACAGCCCTTTGCTTCTTGTGTCACTGTTCCACACAAAATCCAATGGGGCAACATCTCAGATGCCCCACTACAGGAAGACAAAACTGGGCCAGCACCTCCCCTTCTCCTACTCTTCTGATCAACGCCGGGTAGTTCGTGTATACACCCCAACACCTTCGTGCATATCATCAACAACAGAGGATGAGGGTGGGCGGACTGTTGTGAATGACGCAACATACAGGTAGTTCGTATATACACCTAAACACCTTCGTACATATCATCAACAACAGAGGATGCACGTGGGTGGACTATTGCGAATGACACAACATACAGGTAACCGCATTGCTTGTGTGCATGCACTGTCGTAACCCATTTGAGACTGAACAAAACCAGTCCTACAATAGGGCTAATGCACATCAGTGGATGGGTGTACTGAAGGTCAAAAACAAACAATTTAGAGGAAAAAAGAGTGGAAGCGGTTATCGACCCCAACCATGGTCCTTAACCCATCGTCATCCACCACTCAGATATGTGCGTTCCTGGTACACTTCACACGGCTTCCGTCTTTCTCCAAATAGTATACGGGGTCACTGTGTCTGTAGACGAGACCATTTCCAGCTCCGATACAGACAGAATGACCTGCCAATTTCATTCGGAGAAGGCAGGCACTACAGTTCCTGCTTACCATCTCCAGGACGACACACTGGTTTCTAGCAGAGAAAAAGGGAAGGAAAAGGAAGGCAAACAGCAATACAAACTCTCTGAAATCTGACCAAGACTTCTTAGAAAAGCCTGCTGTGCTCTGAGCTTCAGATGGAGGGTATCTTATCTGTCATCTGTCAGAGCCAGAGTGCGCGGGAGGAAGTAGGAGAGGACATGTTTGCTGTTCAAAATTTGTTTCGTTATCGTTCTTTGTACCGCTTGAACTGCACTGGATTGCTGTTAGAAATCTTCTGGCTCATCGCGGCGTTCAGGAGAGAACCGGGTTGGTATTTACAATCTGTCTTATTATTATTATTATTATTTCTTTTACCTCCACTTCAGAGTGCACTAGACAACTGGTGTTAAAACTTTTGAATCTGCCTCGTGATTCTTTACGAGGCTTCAGAGTAGGCAATGGAACGTGAACATGATCGTGTTCACTTTTATCAGAAGCAAGATCGGAGAGGGGAAACAGCCGTAACTGGAAATGAAACGAAAAAAAAGAAACAGGACTCCGTGTCAAGCTCGACGACATTATCGATCAATCAATCAATCAATCAATCAATCAATCAATCAATCAATCAATCAATCAGTCAATCAATTAATCAATCAATCAATCAATCAATCAATCAATCAGTCACTCAATTAATCAATCAATCAATCATCAATTTTCTACTGCAGAAAATGAACAGGAATGCTAACTCGAATCAAAAACCACAACCACCATTTTCTCATGCAGACACCATCACCCAAACAATGAAGAAGAAACGTCCGGACACCGATTGTCATGGCAATAAACCTTTCAATTACTCACAGATTCATACCAACTTACAACCAAGTCTTTCCATTTCAAAAGTGCGCGATCACTGAATAATAAGAAGACGGCTTAGACATTATCTCCTCAAGCCGCAAAACAAATGATCATCATATTTGTTGAGACATTGAAGTGCGCTTCATTTTTGCACGACGTAAATGGTCGATGCACCAGTGAATTAGAAAGCCACAGTAAAAAGAGGGTTCACTAGAGAAGCAACCCTGAGAGAGAAACACCCACCACTCACCTAATAAACTCCGAACAAACAGAAAACCAGTCATAACAGGAAATGAGAACAATTCTCCTGCCCCCTGCTGCTATATTAACTACGATTCGATATAGCTTGTCTTCAGCTTGACCGCTCGCTTGACTCTATCTTTGTCTGTGAGCTCCAAGTCTCCCTACAAAACCACAATCAACATAGAAAACAAAACCGCAAAAAACGGGTCATGCTCAACAGATGTATAACCCAAACACTTAGTCAAAACAAGCAGCAAGACGCTCACTCCAACAACAACTGCATCCAGCTATCCCTGTCAATATGCCTGCCAGTTTCCCGGATGTGGACTTCTCCGATTCCAATTCGCGCGACATCCTCAATGATCAACAATGGTCGCGAGAAATACACGTGCATATACCCCCAATGTTATGTTCGAGGAAAACAGACATCTCTGTACAAAACTTTCGACATCCCAGTAGTTTTCCATGCTCAAAAGGCTTTGTTGAAGGAAGGCGAGTTCTCATGGATGTTCTCGCACCGACCGATCTGATGTTTGGAGTCTCTCTGGGGTACTTGGACAACAAGCGGAGTATTGCACAGCCCATCAGAGATACACCGGTGGTCTTACAGGCGACAGAGATGCCCGCCACTTTCTTAGTCATTGCTGGATAGTACATTGCCAAGCACAACAACTCGTCGGTGAAGGCAGGAGCAACCACCTCAAACACCGAAGAGGATGGTGGCGCAGGAGAGATTGGTTATTTCATAAATAATAATAATAATAAATTACAAGCACAGGACTGAGATGCAAGGCACCAAAGCCCATGACAGTGCATCGATGATCCTCCGGAGTGTGTCATGCTGTATTGTAACCATTTTGCATCTAAAGACCATCTAGAGAAGATCTAGAGAAGATCTAGAGACAGAAGACCTGTTGCATTCTGAAGACGGGACCCAACAACCACTCTGTAGACAAGAAAGGCAGAAACCTCAGTACCACGGTCTTCACCAAATACCACGCCTAGTCATTATAGCTGTACCGGGCGGAGCTTTCAGTCCAGATACGGAGTAATTATCGGGTGTCCTATTCCGATGAAGACCGTAGTTCTCATGCCATTTCGCTCGACCCCCGAAACGGTTCCAGTTTTTCAAAGCTTTTATTGGGCACCTTGTTCGCTGTGCAGCCGTCTGCAAATGATGGATCATCTGCAGACTGCGCTGCAGGCACCAGAAGAAAGCCCGTCACACACTGTCCTAGTGTTTCAATGTAATTGGCACTTTTGTCCTGGACCAACCAGTAAATTCGAAGATGGGAATTTCAGCTTCAGCCCTCCAGGGCGACTGCAACTGTGCTTCCAAAGATACCGTCTTCCCCCAAACATAACATGCGGAGTTGATGAATGTACGCAAACAGGTGTTGCCCAGTCTGATACAGTCACAATGAGGGTGCATTATGTTGCTCCCTACTCGGCCCCCGGAGCCATAACACACCCTGATTATGAATGTACACAAGCCATCTTTCCGGTCTGATACGGTCACAACGAGGGTACATTGTGTTTGGGGGAAGATGGTAGTTATGGCATCACTTGTGTTTGTGGTCCCATGGTCCACATGCTACCGTCTTCCCCAAAACACACCCTCTCCATGAGTATATCGAACCGGAAAGATGGCTTGTACACTCATAATGAGGGTGCGTCTGTGTTCAGGACAGGACGGTAGTGTGTTATGTACATATATTATCACACATCTACCAACTAAAAGAGCGCATTTTGCAAAACCAACGATAGAAATACAGCCGACAAACATGAATATATACACTGACTGATACGTCAGTATATCATATCACTCATAGTATCATACAATATAGTCAGGCAAAGAATGGGCGGGTGAGGACAAACATTACCCGCATCACCTCAAACCACCAGTACACGGCCATACATCGGCCCTGGGCCCCTCACCGGGAGTCTCGGAGGCCGGAAACGCGACAACGGCCATTGAAATTTATCAACAGTGCGCCGACCCCAACCTTTCCAGAGTAGGCGACGAGGTTTTTTTCTACAAGGCTGGGAGCGTGTACTACCGTCTTCACCCGAGTAGAACGCCCGGTCATTATTGCTGCATCTGGACTGAATTCTGGGCCAAATACAGCTATAATGACCGGGCATTATATTCGGGTGAAGACGGTAGCGTACATGATGCTCAGAAAGCCGGCCACCTTCTCCCAGCTCATCACCCAAAAAAAGACCCACCAGGACCGCTGCCACGTATCGACCAATAAGACGACATCAAACACAAGAAGATGTCGACAGCAATCAATCAATCAATCAATCAACCAATCAATCAATCAATCATTGCATTGTCCTGACATCAAATGACCATTTCTCCACGTACCTGGAAAACCACCTCTTCCAAACTTAGGCAGATTCTGCCGTATTTATCAACAACAGCAGCTTCAGAAACCTTTTGGTTGCAGACATCCTTAAGAACTGAAAGGATGGACCGCAACACTTCGCACACTGCAGGGCAACACGACAAGGTGTTGACAACAACCAAAAGTGGGTGTCGACGCCAGCAGCATCAAACAGTGAGTTCGTAGTGAAGTTTCAGGACGGTGTGTGGGTGCAAAGCCAAACACGCAACGTCATCTAACAGTGACTTCTCTCCAAAAACAGCTTAGATTGCAAACAGCGGAGAGCTGAGATTAGAGTTTCGACATCCGCTTCGCAGATGATTTTTTAGTAGCAATCTCTGGTCCACGATCAGAGGCAAAAAGTCAGCTTGCAAACTACAATGACTCGCGTTCCATACAAAACCACACTTGACTTGCCACTAGCTGGCATATATGCCTCTAAAACATGATACTCTAGTCCTACCCTCATCTTCCGATCTCGTTTCCTCCTGCCCTCTGAGCGTGCGCATTGCCCCTCCCTGTTCCCTGCTCCCAGCAGAAAATCTGGAGTGCCCAACTGCCCAGAGAAGCAAATCCTTCCCCCTTTCACCAGATCACCCACCCATCACACTTGCTGTGACTCTTAATTGAAGAGTGACCGCAAAATATTGAAGAACAAAAAGACAAAGGGAGAAAAAGCACTGTTATTGCGCAGCACCGTGAGAATCACATATTACCTAAATGGTGAAAATATCCGTTCATTCACAACTGAAAATAAACAAATCTGTGCCTCCTTTTTTTTTTTTTTTCAATAAGTTGATACTCGGTTATATGCCCTGGAAAAATCTATGCGTGCGCTGTAAGGGCGGTCTAGCAAACAGCCATGGAAGGTATTGACCGATGCGTTTTCCTGTGGACTTCCGATGCCATCGAAAAAGAGACCGTTTGGAACACCTTTGTCCTCTGTGCTTCTAACGCATTCCTCTCCTCCTTTACCCTACTACATACAATATAATAAAGAAGAAACGTCAAGGATAATCTCAAAAGTGATGTCGTATGCACAAAGAAATTCACATGGAAATTTTATTTAGGGCTCTTAGCGTAACAACAATGTCACCTCTTAGCATAGCAACATAATGAATAACATAATTTTTTCAGAATTTCGCTGACGAATTCTGCTTCAGGTCGCATTGTTCTTACTGGTTTAGCAGAGCCCGACTACACTCTTCCCCCGTCATATTCGAGTTTTCAAAAAAAAAAAAAACTCGAGTAGAACGCATGTGTTGTATTCAAATATTTCAGCTGTTCGGACAGAACGCACACGAGTTGTATTAGAATAGAAAGCAACCTGTGCGTTCGAATAGAACGCGTATGCGTTTTATAACTTTTATTAGAATATATAAAGCAACCTGTGCGTTGTATTCGTTTACAACACATACGTGTTATGTCCGGGACGTGTTATGTCCGGGGGAAGACAGCAGGAACAAGTGTCACTTGTTAGTGCAGCAACACAGTGAATCCGCAAATTTTCACAAATTAGCAAACTTTTTTTTGGAGTTTAGATGAAAATTTTCAAATTTCTGGCTCAGGTGATGTTCTTGTCACTATTGCTTCAGCAGCAGCAGCACAAATAGCGACAACCAATGTCACCTCTCACTGCGGTTAATGCTTTAGCCGCCCCGCGACTAGCAACAACGATGTCATCTCTTAGTCCATCTATATAAACCACGGCACACATCTGAGATATCACGATACCTTCTCCCGAAAAGAGCATACAGTCATTATCACTGTATCCAGACTGAAAGTCGCTCCAAAAAATACAGCGATGATGACGGTGCATTCTATTCAGCGGAAGAGAGTAGGTAGCCTATTTGGACCCCCAAGACAATCCCCCCATCCGACACATTCCTTTCTCTTCCACTTCAAACAACAACTTGGCAGCAATCCAACGAAGCAATCTTCAGTTTTGCCCTTCCAAAAGCCAAAGAGCCAGATTCGTGATCAAATAGCAAAATAATGAAGGTCGTGGAGATGGATGTGCTGATGTCCACTTACATCCAAGCTCGTCGTACTCATCACTGCCAAGAGTGTAGACGGCAAGGTCGCCGATCCCGGCATACACAATGTGAAAAACCGACCTGCGAAATGAAATTGAATGTAGGAAGGGATGGATGCATACGGTCACCAAACTGAAGACAACTTGGAAAAAAAAAAAAAAAAAAAACAAGAATGTCGACAAGGATGCAGGGACAAACTCCACAACCAAAAGGAAGGAATGTGAGGGTGATTGTGCACATAGTTGACTGCATGACCACAGAGAGAGAGAGGGAGAGAGAGAGAAGGTAGGGGGGGTCTGTAACAAGACTCCAAAACCCCGGCAATGTGAAATGTGCCTGTTGTTGATCGAACACCCCACCCAGAGATAACAATTGTAAGAGTAAATTTGTAATTCACATTGTAATGGAAATTATTACATATTCGAATTGTAGTTTCACATTGTAATGGAAATTACATATTGTAATTGTAATTGCACACACATTGTAACCGTCATTGTAATTATTACATATTGTAAGTGTAATTAGTAATTACACATTGTATGTCCATTTGATTCCATCCGGATACGAACTCATGATCCGTTCATCAACAATTACACGTGTGCACACCATTCAGCCACAGAATCTGAGTTAATTATTTGTACTTAGTCACTCGGCTTCTTTTCGATGCACGGTGTTTTGTTCAAGAACGTATGAATCCCTTCCCTTCCCTTTGGCCCCACGCACACTGCACGATGGAGCTGAGTAGATTCCGCATTTCATAATTTACTAATGTCATAATAATGAGGATGAGGGTGGTGAGGGTGAGGGTGGGCGGCTTTGGTGGTGAGGGTGAGGGTGGGCGGTTAAATCGCCCCCAATAAGTTGTAAGAAATCGGACCTGCTCTCTGGGAATGGCTGGCTGCCAGAAAAAGCTTGTGGCGGTGATGCTGCTCTTGTGGTGATGTGGCCATGTGATGATGCCAGTGAGCTGGTGATGCTGGTGATGCTGGTGATGCTGGTAATGCTGGTAATGCTTGTGATGTGGTGATGGTGGTGGTGTAGTGATTATGGTGATTTAGTGAGGGTGGCGATGGACTGATGGTAGTGACGGCAGCGATGGTGGCGATGGTGATGATGGTGGCGATGGTGATGATGGCGGCGATGGTGGTGTTGGTGATAATGTAGTGATGGCGGTGATGGTGATGATGGTGGTCGTGGTTGTGGGCTTAAACGAGAGGAGGCGTTGAAACGATTCAGCAGCAACAGCAGTAGTGTTCCGTATTATATTGTGCCTTCCATGCCGCAGCTAGCCGGGAATTTTTGAAAGGGCTTCGAAGAATTGAAGGTCTTGATTATTCCAACCAGGCTTGATTGATTGATGGCTGCTGCTGGTTGTTGAGTGGTATAAGGATTGATAGTGTCATGCATGACACCACATGATTAGTTGTTGGGCGGATTTTGTTTCCACTTCGATTTGTGTTAAACAGAGAGCGAGGCAGGATGGGKGGGTGGGTGGGKGGGKGGGTGCATGTAGTGATGGCGGTGATGGTGATGACGGTGGTGATCGTGATGATGGTGGTCATGGTGGTCATGGTGGTGGGCTTAAACGAGAGGATGCGTCGAAACGATTCAGCAGCAGCAGGAGCAACAGCAGTAGTGTTCATTGTGCCTTCCATGCCGCTGCTAGCCGGGAATTTCTGAAAGGGCTTCGAAGAATTGGAGACGGTCTTGATTATTCCAACCCGGCTTGATTGATTGATGGCTGCTGGTGGTTGTTGACTGGTATAAGGATTGATAGTGTCATGCATGACACCACATGATTTGCTGCTGGGCGGATTTTGTTTCCACTTCGATTTGCGTTAAACAGAGAGCGAGGCAGGATGGGTGAGTGGGTGGGTGCATGTTCAGGAAAGAAACGCAGTCTCAAGCCAAGAGGTGGAGATCTTGATGAGATTCTCTTCGTAAAGGGAGAGCGCATTTTTCCAGTACATGACGCGAGACGAAAACCGACCACCAAGTGTTGGAAAGACACACACGCACCTCTTCCAGGAATATCCCCCAGTCCGAAGAAAGATTTCCTTCCGCTTTCGCACTCACAGCCATGCTCACAACGCACGACTATGATAATAGTCGTTCATTTAATCACTCGCTCGAGTTCGTGGACTTGAAGCACGACTATAATAATAGTCGTTCATTTAATCACTCACTCGAGTTCGTGGACTCTACGTCACCCCACTTAGAGCATACTCACACTAGGATTTTTTGACTGAGCTCTGGACGTAATTGCCGTCAGAAACATCCAGGTCAGCCTCTAATTCCGGTCAGATGCATCAAGGAAAGCCCTAGTATAAGTACGCTTTTGGAGCCTCTAGGGACGAAGAACCCAACCAAAATATATCCTCAACGGGTACCCTAATTAAGCACCATACATACGGTAAAAAACAAAACCGTAGTCAACCATCCCAACTTCGTCCACCAAGTTCATCATCGATGGAGAGGCATTACCCGCCTACACTTGCACAGGCCCACTCCTTGGGGGAGGGGGCCTGTGCGGGTGTAGAGTTTCAGCGGATGGTATCAGAAATTCCATTTCAGAACTGCTACGCTAAAGAGAGGGAAGCCAAGCCCAGTTGGTGCAGCGATCAAATCAACTGCTGAAACACAGACCTGAAGAGTCCGAATCCAGTTGCAACTTGGTGAAGGAAATAGTACCATCTGATGAATTACTTGGGGGCGGTCGGCTCTACAATGACATCTCAAGACCGTCTCCCTTGAAAGAATAAACACAAAAAAACACACAGAAACACACAAAAACACACAAAAAACATACAAAAAAGAAAAAAACACAGAGAAAGAGAAGCCGTGCCTAATCCAGCGGCCTAGCTCAGTTGGTTAGGCATGTGCAAGTGGCAGGCAATCAGGAGGTTGTGGGTTCGAACCGGGTTCGAACCGCATGACCACCTGCGGCGCACTTAGTGCAAAACCAACTGTGATAGTCCGCTTGATTCCCCTGATCGGCATTAGTAGTAGGGTCTAATATGACCAACAGGGGTGTGAGTGTGAGTGTGAGTGTAAGTGTGAGTGTGAGTGTGAGTGTGAGCGTGAGTGGGTTGTGTGCGGTGTGTGGCAGAGTGTTGGCCATACAGCCACTGCTGCTACTCGATGGGGGGTGGGGGAAGTAGATGGGAGGCGCAGCTACTGGCAAAATGCTCGGTCTTTACGTTAGCCGCCCCCCCCCACCCCAATCGGCGGTCCCACCCTACGCCCTGACCACTGCCGATCTGGGCGGGGGCACAATATGCATCCCCTTGTGAGAGGTAGACATCCTTGCAGGGGTCCCCTTGTATAGGCTTAGGAGTAGTGGTAGGTACATATGTCTAGGGTCAGGAGTAGCCGTAGGTAGATAGTGACAGGTGAATTTGAGAAGAATATAAGCTGTCTCTTATACACATCTAGATGTGTATAAGAGACAGCACACACACACACACACACACACACACACACACACACACACACACATGCCCGTATGTGCGTGTTGTCGTATTCACTATACAGAACTGCACAAAAAAAAAGAAAAAAAAAGAAGCATGATTGTGGCAGACTGAAGGTCGTGTGTGTGTGTGTGTGTGTGTGTGTGTGTGTGTTTGTGTGTGTGTGTGTGTGTGTGTGTGTGTGTGCGTGCGTTGTCATATTCGCTACACACTCAAAAAATG